ATGCGTTGAAAATGCTGACACAGCTTTTTCTCAAGTTGGGACAGTCCCAGAGCAATGTCAGAATGGATCCCAGTCTTACTTCTTAAGGTAAAGGCTGTCAGTGGCATCTTTGAAACCTCACCTTCCCTTCTTCGATTGAAAATGATGACCTCACAAAGAGTCAAAACTGCCAGTTTAGACCAATGCTTAGACGTTGGCTCACTTATTAGGGTTTGCACATATTCAGGTCGACATACCTCAATATGTGCATGCATGGCTCTAACGTCCTCAGTCAGAGGGAGCAGGTCCGGAGTGTTCCACTTGGCTTGCCGGAGGGTCTGTAGGGCAGCAGAAGAAACACAGACGTCCCACCTCTTCTCAAAAAGCAGCCGGCTTCGTTGGAGGTTTTTAATAAATAGTTCATCAACACAATGCTCCATTTTTGAGTCACATTCAAGAATATCTGCTAGCTTTCTGAGGCTATGGCCGAGTTTGATTTGTTTCCTCATCATATCCAGCCACAGACCTGACTGCATCAATCACATGGTTAAAGTTGGAAGGAATAAAGAAATCCTTAATTGTTTTCAGTTTCCCTGCGGTTTTTGCTTCGTTAATTAACCTACCGACTTCTCTCATTTTCTGCCTAATGTAATCATGCTTAGTCTTATCATGCCCGTGTTTTAAGTACAGGTGCTCTCCGAGTCTCAGAATCCCCTTTTCTGCTTTGACAACACCCGTGACCTCATCCTGATGCATTGCCAAAATTAAAGACCACAGCTTTTTGCTGATGCCCTCCGGTACAGGCTGGGCTAGGGAGCAGAGGGACTGGACCCTACTTCTACCTGGTTTAGCCTGGTTTAGCCTGGTTTAGCCTGGTTTAGCCTGGTTTAGCCTGGGCATCTTTCTGTGAAAGCCGGCACCTGGCCACATGCCTCCACAGCGACTTTCGCTTAAGCAATGCCCCACAGTCTATACAGTGCAAAAACTCACTGGATTTAACTGGGGAATTTGGCTGTTTAGCTGGGACTAAAGTTCCAATGCCGGCCTTTAAAACCTCAAAATTGTGCTCACGGTTTCCACTATTCCTGATCAAATCAAACTGAAGTTTACGTGCTTTAGATTTCACAGGTAGAGCCAATGCTCTGGCTACGTCACTTTCATTTCCATGTTTTCTAGTCAAATGACGGGACATTTTGTCGCAGGACATTGAACAGTAGAGGCAGAAGTGTCTCTTGCTGTAAACTCGCCCCCCATTTTTCTTCTTTTGCAGCTGCATGATAACAATCTTATTTGCCTTTGGTTCGTCACTTTCCGAGTCTTGAAGAAAAGTGTTTTTGATTTTTCTTTTTCCATACTTTTTTACAGGTTTCTTCTTGACAGTTAAATCGTCAGAATCTGAGTCGACTTCATCAATTAGGGACTCTTGACTAAGCTGCACAAACAACAAATAATTTGTAATCATTCTATATAACAATTTGAAGTCATGACTTGTAGTCAGCACTTACCAGTGGTTTGTAAGCGTGCGCTTCAGTGTGCTCCTCCATGATTTCTTGCAGCCTAATGAACCACACACTTGCACCTTTTTCTAGCCTGACACCTGATTTCCTCTGTTGTGCTGCTCCATGATTGGCTCCAGCCTGCTGGACTGAAATTGCCCCAGTGTGCCCCTCCTTGATATTCCGCAACCCACCACCAGGGTTCCGACACATAACACACTTTTTTCAGGAAAGTAAACCTCCAGGGGTCCTTTCCATATTTTTACAGAGACTGCATAAGGACCGTTAGAAAAGCATTACCCATTGATTATTAAGCTTGGACCAGTGGGGTCCGGTGTTCGGGCCCCACCACGTAAAACCAGTCCCCATGACGTGAGCGGAATCTCAGGTTATGGACCCCACCAGGAGTTAAAAACAAGTGCACAGATACACACACACACAGACACACACACACACAGACACACACACACACACACACACACACACTGACAGTGTCTCCTGTTCCAGGCTCTTACAGTCTGAGGCTGGAGGGAGGAGCCAGTCGCTGTCAGGGGGAGGTGCAGCTGCAGAGACCAGGTCTGGACTGGACTCCACTGGGTCCAGATCCATACTATAATTATGAGTCTGTTCCTCTGGAGTTTGGATCCAGAGTCTGCTCTGAGCTGGACTGTGGCTCTGCTCTGTCTCTGGAGGAAAAAACAGTTCAAGAACGAAAAGCTGTGAAAGTCAAACCCTTCTGTGATGAACCTGAACTGATCGACTGTTTTGATAAAGAAACATCTGACTCTGATCGAAGTCTTCATCTCAACTGCTCAGGTCAGACACACTCACCTTTTCACACCAACATTTATCACTTCACCATCATCAGAAGGAGGCGCAGCTTTGACACTGAGTCAGAAGGAGGCGCAGCTTTGACACTGAGTCAGAAGGAGGCTTTGACACTGAGTCAGAAGGAGGCGCAGCTTTGACACTGAGTCAGAAGGAGGCGCAGCTTTGACAGTGAGTCAGAAGGAGGCGCAGGTTTGACAGTGAGTCAAAAGGAGGTGCAGGTTTGACAGTGAGTCAGAAGGAAATGCAGGTTTGACAGTGAGTCAGAAGGAGGCGCAGCTTTGACAGTGAGTCAGAAGGAGGCGCAGGTTTGACAGTGAGTCAGAAGGAGGCGCAGCTTTGACTCTGAGTCAGAAGGAGGCGCAGCTTTGACAGTGAGTCAGAAGGAGGCGCAGGTTTGACAGTGAGTAAGAAGGAGGCGCAGGTTTGACAGTGAGGTTCGACAGTGAGTCAGAAGGAGGCGCAGGTTTGAGAGTGAGTCAGAAGGAGGCGCAGGTTTGACAGTGAGTCAGAAGGAAGCTCAGCTTTGACAGTGAGTCAGAAGGAGGCGAAGGTTTGACAGTGAGTCAGAAGGAGGCGCAGCTTTGACAGTGAGTCAGAAGGAGGCGCAGGTTTGACAGTGAGTCAGAAGGAGGCGCAGGTTTGTTAGTGAGTCAGAAGGAGGCGCAGCTTTGACAGTGAGTCAGAAGGAGGCGCAGGTTTGACAGTGAGTCAGAAGGAGGCGCAGGTTTGTTAGTGAGTCAGAAGGAGGCGCAGGTTTGACAGTGAGTCAAAAGGAGGTGCAGGTTTGACAGTGAGTCAGAAGGAGATGCAGGTTTGACAGTGAGTCAGAAGGAGGCGCAGCTTTGACAGTGAGTCAGAAGGAGGCGCAGGTTTGACAGTGAGTCAGAAGGAGGCGCAGCTTTGACAGTGACTTAGAAGGGAGCGCAGGTTTGACAGTGAGTCAGAAGGAGGCGCAGGTTTGACAGTGAGTAAGAAGGAGGCGCAGGTTTGACAGTGAGGTTCGACAGTGAGTCAGAAGGAGGCGCAGGTTTGAGAGTGAGTCAGAAGGAGGCGCAGGTTTGACAGTGAGTCAGAAGGAGGCGCAGGTTAGACAGTGAGTCAGAAGGAGGCGCAGGTTTGACAGTGAGTCAGAAGGAAGCTCAGCTTTGACAGTGAGTCAGAAGGAGGCGAAGGTTTGACAGTGAGTCAGAAGGAGGCGCAGCTTTGACAGTGAGTCAGAAGGAGGCGCAGGTTTGACAGTGAGTCAGGAGGCGCAGGTTTGTTAGTGAGTCAGAAGGAGGCGCAGGTTTGACAGTGAGTCAAAAGGAGGTGCAGGTTTGACAGTGAGTCAGAAGGAGATGCAGGTTTGACAGTGAGTCAGAAGGAGGCGCAGCTTTGACAGTGAGTCAGAAGGAGGCGCAGGTTTGACAGTGAGTCAGAAGGAGGCGCAGCTTTGACACTGAGTCAGAAGGAGGCGCAGCTTTGACAGTGAGGTTCGACAGTGATTCAGAAGGAGGCGCAGGTTTGAGAGTGAGTCAGAAGGAGGCGCAGGTTTGACAGTGAGTCAGAAGGAGGCGCAGCTTTGACAGTGAGTCAGAAGGAGGCGCAGCTTTGACAGTGAGTCAGAAGGAGGCGCAGGTTTGACAGTGAGTCAGAAGGAAGCTCAGCTTTGACAGTGAGTCAGAAGGAGGCGAAGGTTTGACAGTGAGTCAGAAGGAGGCGCAGGTTTGTTAGTGAGTCAGAAGAAGGCGCAGGTTTGACAGTGAGTCAGAAGGAGGCGCAGCTTTGACAGTGAGTCAGAAGGAGGCGCAGCTTTGACAGTGAGTCAGAAGGAGGTGCAGGTTTGACAGTGAGTCAGAAGGAGGCGCAGGTTTGTTTAGTGAGTCAGAAGGAGGCGCAGGTTTGACAGTGAGTCAAAAGGAGGTGCAGGTTTGACAGTGAGTCAGAAGGAGTTGCAGGTTTGACAGTGAGTCAGAAGGAGGCGCAGCTTTGACAGTGAGTCAGAAGGAGGCGCAGGTTTGACAGTGAGTCAGAAGGAGGCGCAGCTTTGACACTGAGTCAGAAGGAGGCGCAGCTTTGACAGTGAGTCAGAAGGAGGCGCAGGTTTGACAGTGACTTAGAAGGAAGCGCAGGTTTGACAGTGAGTCAGAAGGAGGCGCAGGTTTGACACTGAGTCAGAAGGAGGCGCAGCTTTGACAGTGAGTCAGAAGGAGGCGCAGGTTTAACAGTGAGTCAGAAGGAGGCGCTGGTTTGACAGTGAGTCAGAAGGAGGCGCAGGTTTGACAGTGAGTCAGAAGGAGGCGCAGCTTTGACAGTGAGTCAGAAGGAGGCACAGGTTTGACAGTGAGTCAGAAGGAGGCGCAGGTTTGACAGTGAGTCAGAAGGAGGCGCAGGTTTGATAGTGACTCATGTGAACGTTCTATCTTCAGTTTCATCAAAGACAGCCCCTGATGATGTCACACACAGGAGAAAGTACAGAACACACACACAACACAACAGGGAGAGCAACACACAGAACAACACAGCTTTTTATGGACACGCTACAATACAATACAAAACAGTGACACAATTACACACACCAGGACTCAATCAAGGATGAAGAAATACAAACACACACACGCTAATATTTCAGTCCATGGACCTGAAAGCACAGACATCTTGGGTCCCCAGGGGCTCAGTGAAAGTATTTATTTGAATGGCACATGTCTCACAGTG